TTCTTTTACACGACGGATGTTGTATAAAATAGGTCGTCTATTCTTCTCCAGGACAATTTTTTGGTTCATTTTTCAGTGTACAGACGTCGGTTTTTTTTGTAAATGACGTTATTTGTTACAACAACGACGGTGATTTACCCTAACCGCTATTTTCACGTCAATATTAATGGAAAAAACGAAGTGGCATTACTATTGCACGACGGTTATATAAATATATTAGACGTCGTATGATTTAATAACGTCATATTTTATTTATTTAAAGACGTATTGTATTCTTTTACACGACGGATGTTGTATAAAATAGGTCGTCTATTCTTCTCCTGGACAATTTTTTGGTTCATTTTTCAGTATACAGACGTCGGTTGTTTTTTGTTAATGACGTTGTTTGTCATAACAACGACGGTGATTTCGCGTCGTGGTTTTACTTTGCAAAAGACGTCGCTCTATTTTACGACGGTTTGAAAACCAAATTCACGACGGTGAATTCCCGTCGTCTTTTGCCTTTTTTGTAGTAGTGTAACGTGATTTGGCAGAGTGCTTTATTTACAGTGTATAGAAAATATTGATTCATATATTTAGGTGTTCTTTCTTTTCTACATTAATCAAAATTTGTAGTTTCTTTAGGTTTTATTAATTCATATATTTACTAACCTTTTTTTTTTCTTTGTGAAAAGGTGCAAATTTGATTTGAGAAGTATGAAACTCATGGAATTGTATGTGTATATGTAATGAAAATTTATTTGTTTTCATTTGGATTTTCTTTTGAACTTTGCAAATATGGAGATTGTGATTGAGATTACTCTTACAATCTGCTATGGTCTGTAATAATTATTGGATTATTTGGACATGTGTGGTGGGTGATGATGTTCTTAGATTTTAAGGGTTTTTTTAGTATTGGAATGATGATAAACTTTAGATATGCAAAGCTGGAGAAACTGGAAAAACAGAATGGGCCTGGAAAACTTTCAAAAAAAAGAATGAGCCTGGAAAACTTAAAAAAAAAACACCTTCAATTGTTGCTTTTGTTGGGCCTCGACATACATCCGAACCGAACCAACCTAACCCGCCTAATTCGGGTTTCAATTTAAGTAAAAAATGGGCCTAATAAACAGGTGCACGATTTACCATGTGGGCTAGCCGACATGGCCCGATTCGGCGTACCGTTCGAGCCCATAACCAGCCCGACCCGACCCGTGTGCAGCCCTATGAGTATGCTCTCATCTTCGCATGGTATCCGAGTTTCTCCTCTTCTACTGGTGCACGTAAGATATAATGCATACTTTAAATTTCTTTTCAAAGGTCTCATGGCATAGTATTAATTTTCACAAATCCACAAATCTGTTTTGGTTGTTCAAAGTTAGCTTTGTTATTAGGTTGATGAGAAATACGCACATTGTGTTGATGAAAGCGTGTATTTTAAAGCCAATGAGCCAAATATATGTCCCCAACGACGGTGTATGAAATAATTGTGTCGTTTCCACTATCATGAGACGTCGGTTTAGGGAATTACTGTCGTGTTCAAAGGTTAGTCATTCATATACACATACATCTCCTTAGTCATTGACTGTTCACTAATTACAAAACAAATATGTACATTGTAACTCAAAATATCTAGTCTATATGAAGCCTCACAAATTCTGCCCTCCTTCCTAACTTCATCAATGTCTTCTTGGGCATACGAAATGGGTTATTTTTTCTTCTCAAACTGCAAAAAATAAACAAAGATTATTCAAAGATACATGTACAACCGACGTGTTATAGCAATACAAACGATGGTAATTAATAAACCGGCCTAAAAAAACCGTTGTGTTATAAAAATACAAACGACAGTTTTTCCAATTACAGTTGTCGTAGTTTACAAAAAAAAATCAGAAATTAAATCTTAAATTTATTTTTTTACCTTCTTCTCAAATTCTAGGGTAGGATCCCTGATTATATCTCTCATAAAACGCATCACGTAGTAGCTACACTCTACATTGGTTGGTTGCTTTGGAGTGCCTTGTAGAGTTTTCCAAATGGCTGATTTGCGAGAATGTTTGCTTGCGTGTGCGTTATACATTTTGATTGCACTGTTTCAAGACAACAAGGTGTTAATGAAAAAATGTTTTAGCCTATGAACACATATTACAATGTAGTAAATCAACTTACATAGTCCCTATATTTTTGCATTCCTAGTCAACCGTGCGCTATGGTAATGAATCCATATAATATACGGTCTCCTTTTGTGGTCTCACAATTATCAACACCCAATGACCCCTACACAAAATGAGGACATGTTAAATAGTTTAGAGATGCTACCTAATTACAAAGATTATCTTGTTAATGGGACTAACCCTGGATTATAAGGCACCAAAAAAATTTGATAATCCCCATCTGCCTTTTTCAGTTGGTTTGCTAGATGCCGTGATCTTTGAGTTAGCGATCCAGATTGAGCGCTAAATTGTGCAGAGTCGACAAGGCCAATAAGGTTTATCATATTTGCCATTTTTAAAAAGTCAAACCTTTCCCTTGCCAATCACGTAAACAGAGCAAAAATCTGGTGCCCCCTTTGACAATGACACTGTGCTTGGAACGTCTGTGAGTTTGAATCTTTTGGTGCACAAAATAAATATAAAAACAAAAAAGAAGGAAAATTTAGGTAATTAGGATCGAATATAGGAGCTAATTAAGATGATTATGATGAATTCATTAATTAATCACCCGAAAAGATATCAGTCACAAGCAAACACAAGTGTTAGACGCTCCCTGGGCAATATCATTGTATTTTGTTACTTTTAATTGATTGATCCAGATCCTCTTAGGTTTTTTCTGCTATGATTTGCTTGATTTGCAATTAAATTACTTGGTTTGTGCAGTAGTATGAATTAAAATTTGTTTAATTTTTTCGTATAACCAGAAAAAAACACATCAACAGTTTGTAAGGACATAAATAATATTTCGCATTTATCAAGACTATGTGTATAGACGTATCACATTTTGAAGAATGTGCATACCAAACATGAAAATTGAATTTCATACTCATTATATCAACCCACATCTCAAATTCCAAACGATTTGAAAAATAGAACAGTCAATGTGATACTTGAACGTTGATAAAACATTTTTCAGAGTTTCCATTCATCTTTCTTGAGCTTAATCTTTTTTATAAAAAAAAAAACTCTTGTGGCATTTCCCTTCCAAATATTTGGCGAACGTAGTTTCGATTCCTCCTTTCCATTCTAGGTTAATTAACATTTCTCGACGAAGAAATTCTGTAATTGTGAAGTATAAAATTATACATAAAAGAAAATAATTAGGAAGTATATTAGAACTCACATTCTTTTTGGAGCAAAAGGAACGGTACGAAAGAAACAGGCTTTGGGCTTGAGAACCACCACCTTGGCTGTCGGCTCCTTCAGAAGACGATGTGTGCTTAACATGCAGCAACGTGAGAGGTTGGCCTCTTGTGAGAAGATGATCAACAGCCCATTTGATGGCATTTTCACTTCCTTTGTCCTTGTCTATAGCCACTGCCACGGACTCTTCTCTCTTCTCTCAATGCCCTCTGTTAATCCTTGCCATTAATTCTTAATTAACTCTCTTAATCTCCTATAAAATATAATTAATTCAAAACTCTCCAAGTGGGCAGCTTACAGATCCTGTTTACAAGAAGATGATCATATGTTTTATAATCTCCAAGTTTTTCTTTCTCTCCAATGCCTCTCTCTCTCTCTCTCTCTCTCTCTGTGATTTTTTTAGAGGTCTGCCTGGGAAACCCTTCTTTGTCCTGTCCAGAGAGAGTTGGTTTGTTTTGTTGAACGGAAGAGAAGAGAAGAAAAAAAATACTTACCAAATTTCCCTAACCATGTTATCTTTTGTCTCTATTTTGAGTTAGTTCTTTTTTTACTTTTAATAACGAACTCTCTCTTATGTTTCTCAAATAGGCATCATCGTCTGTCGTATGATGTGATCAACTAATGTGACCCGAAAATGTTATGATTTTTTTAGCACGATCCTGAGGACCTGCACATTGTTGCATGGTTATAACTGTTGTTTTGTCTTGCCAAATTAGGCGACTTCCGTGCCGCCAGAACAACAAAGGTGTAAGTTGATAAATTCAGCAATACCTGCTTTCTTTGATGTGTTTGCATTGCGTGGTTACAGAGTTCTTGACAGCAAAGCTTAACAAATTTTGCTCCCCCAAATTTTTTAATTTTTTAAAATTATATATACGTGTTATTATTTGTATAAATTAATTTCTATCAGAGACATCACTAATGTAGTCTATCCGCTAAGTAAAGAAAAATTATAAAATATCAACTTATTTTCCTAGAATGTGTTGATGAAAGCGTGTATTTTAGAACCAATGAGGCAAATTTAGGTCCCCAAACATGAGGCTTTAGCCTCATGGGCAGATTGGATTCATAAGTCAGTCCTCCATAAACCCTTGCTTACCCAAAAGAGCTTGGTTGAAACTTAATTAGTGTCGAAAATCCAAAACCCCTTGGATTCTTCATATCATATATTTAGGAGTTCTCACTTGGATTGCAATTTATTAAAAAAACTTGCATGTAACAAACTTATGGACCCCAGTACGACATTGCGAGACAGTGCAACACATCTAAGTTTAATGGTTACATATGTAAACAAGAGTAAAGCCCAATTGAAGAGCTTAATCTGGCCCAGTGAAGAGCTTGGCCAGCTTGTTTTCCACTTTCCCTTTGTTCGTGTTCCATGTGATGCGTCACTATATAACCTATTAGGGGTGGACATCAATCTGACCAAACTCACTAAATCGGTCGATCTGAACTGTAATAGCCGGTTTGCCTTGGTTTCAACCCATGTTTTTTTGTGCGACTAAAGCCTTTAGTAATCCCGCACATTAGTCACCAAATAATGGTGACTGTTACCGCTTTTTTTTTATAATGTTGACTGATTGTTTCAAATAAAAAAAACTTGCATGTAACAAACTTATGGACCCCAGTACGACATTGCGAGACAGTGCAACACATCTAACTTTTCTAATGAAATGGAAAATTAAATGTAAATTGTTTATCTTAAGCTCTTCTCATCGCACTTACTAGTAACCAAACAGAAGCCTTTAGTAATCCCGCACATTAGTCACCAAATAATGGTGACTGTTACCGCTTTTTTTTTATAATGTTGACTGATTGTTTCAAATGGACATACGTACTTTGGTTGCCCGATAAGGACGGACCAATAAATGTCTAGATCTAACCCAAATAAGCTGGCCCTGCCCTTTCCTTTTCTAATGAAATGGAAAATTAAATGTAAATTGTTTATCTTAAGCTCTTCTCATCGCACTTACTAGTAACCAAACAGAAGGGGTTTTCCCAACATCTTAATAAATTCTTCATTTGTTGGCCCATCAAGTTTAGTTAGAGATGCGTGTTGTAGATGCACATGCAATTTATGATATTTTTCGCATGATGGTGAAATTTGGGTAAAAAAGGAACGTGTAGTGATTTTTTTTCATGCTATCGAATACCATAAATTCCGAGTAATTATAATTAGTGTAGTACAATAATATGGTCACATGATATAATATGTTCATGTATTATAATATATAAATGGAGATTTATTGATACTATTCTCTAAAAGAGGAAAATATCAATCATATCGTCTACCTATATTATAATACATGAATAAATTATATTACATAACTGTACCATTCTAATACCACGTGGCCGTATTATGTCTGTACTCAATGTCAAATCATTATGTACCATTCTAATACCACGTGGCCGTATTATGAACCATTCTATAATTTCTCGAGAAGTCCAAATCTTACAAAAAAGGTTCCGTGTGATTTTGGCAGGCTGTGTGGTCTCACTGTTTGGTGCAGAGCTGATATTATCATCATAAAGGACTGGTCCAATGTAATGCTTGGCCTGTTGTTTCAAGTTGTATCAGTTATTAAAATTTGGGGACCCATCGACCAAAAACACCAGAATAATAATGTTAGTATTCAGAGTGAGTATGCGACCTTAGACCACGTGGAGCAGTTTTAAACCGTTCATGAAGACATCGTGGAACATTTTCAAACCAAGAACTATTTTCTCTTCTTCTTATAATTATTAAAAAGATACCCTTTGAGGCATTGAAGACAGACACAACTCGACGGTATTCTTTATTTGACAATGCTGTATATGGAGCATCTTCAACACGGAAAAGAAAAACAAACATAACTCTCTACTTCAACAAAAGTGACATGTTGTCTATCTATTTACCTCATCGAAAAAATTTGTAATTTAAAAGAGACTAGGTAATACAACAAGGTTTAGTTGCATGGGTCCTAACAAATGGTAACATGCAACTTCATTTTTTTCTTGTGCTTGATTTGTGCAAATTCCTATTTAACGTGGATTTTATTAATGCACATATTGTGCATTAATATGTTAATCCACTGCCACTTATTTTATTGTGTACTCCTTTTATTATTCGTTGATAATACAATCCACTCATATACTATTATTGTTTTTTTTTCCCATCTTGTATGTTTGTTTTAGGTTTTAATTTCATTGTTGTGTAGCTTTTTGTAGTATAATGTTTTTTTTTCCACTCTATGTACCTAAAGATTATTAAAAAAATTTCAATTGGTTCTCACCAATTGTCAAGTTGTACTATTTTTTAGTTTTATAACTTTCCGAAAGGGATTAATAATTCACATGTTTTTTTATCCCATCTCATTGTACTCGTTTATTTCTTCTTGAACTATCTAATAGGTATAGTACATATTTGATGCACCTCAGTACTGGTAAAACACATATTGGATGCACCTCAATGCCAGTTATACTAGGTATTTTAAAAAATTAACATTATGACAAAAAAATTCCATCAAATAATTTTGGAAAACTCAATGTATAAATTTATAGCTAAAAGGTACGTATATGCTACCAATTTAATAAAGCTACGAATATAGAATTCTAAAAAATATAGTTTCAATATGTATATAGCTGAAATTTGAATTAAATAGGTTTTCAATCTGTGAGCCATGAAATCATCATTTAAATTGAATGTCATAAGCTTGATTGTAGGAGAAAATTGATATTTGACAGCGGAGGAGAACGTGAGCTTAATGTTGAGAATGAGAACAAGAAAGCAAAGAACTCACACGCAAGAACTGGATTGAATGACTTGTTATTGAACAGTAACCTTTGGCTATTATATAGCCTTACAAGAACTAACAAACAGCTGAAATACAGCCCACGATTCACACTAACAGAAACGTGGTAACGTGCATAAGGAAAGAGTCAAAGCAGTAAAACAAGTCTCCCTACATAGTAGGGACTTATTCAAAACAGAAAACAAACCTAAATATCTAAGAATCCTATAGTAATAAGGACTCCCAAACCCGTCATTCCCTCCCTTAAACTAACTGCCATCAAGCATTTAGTTTACATCAGCAATCTCACAAACTCCCAACAGACTCCGAAGCTTCTGGAAAGCATTAACCTTTAGTGGTTTGGTCATTACATCTGCCACTTGATCATCACTCCCACAATGAACCAAAGCAATCGAACGCTCCTTTGTAAGATTCCTCAAGAAGTGGTACCTTACATCGATATATTTGCTGCGACCATGCATCACAGGATTCTTTGAAAGCTTAATGGTTGAGCTATTATCACACTTGATAATAGTACAGACCTCATCAATGTGCCTGAGCTCCTTCAATATCCTTTTCATCCAAATTGCTTGACACGCACACACTGCAGCTGCTACAAACTCAGCTTCCGTAGTAGATAGTGTAACAATTGGCTGTTTTTTTGAACTCCATGACACAGCACAAGAACTCAGCAAGAACACATAGCCACTTGTACTCTTCCCATCTTCCATATCTCATGCATAATCGCTATCCGTGAAAGCAAGCAATTTACCATCTCCACCTCTCTTGTAATGAATGTTGTAATTCACAGTCCCCTTTAGATATCGAAGAGCTCTCTTTGCAGCATGTAGATGAAGCTCAGTTGGTTTCGCCATATACCTGCTTATGAGGCTGGTGACGAACATCATGTCTGGTCTCGTGGCGGTAAGATACATCAAGCTTCCCACCAATTGCTTGAAGTACGTCTCATCCACAGTGAT